GGAGAACCCAAGGCTGTGGGGTCAGGGGAGCAGTGCCAGCCAGCCAGAACTGCTCCTTCCCAGGCCTCATGCTACCCATCTGTGCAATGGGTACAGTGCCTCATGGCTGTTCCAGGCTGGGAGGGTGGCCAGGGCTGCCTGGGCTGTGGCCTTATTTCCTGCCAGCTCAGGCCCTATTGCCACTGGGACTTGGGAAACCCATATGCAAGAGCCTGAAACCAGGCCATGAGAATGGTGAGGAGGATGATTGGAGTGGCCTCATTCGCTGGGTGACCTCAGTGTAGCCGAGATGGGAACTGAGATCCCCTAGGGACCTTGTGGGACCTGACACTGACTGTTGAGGGGAGGGCAGCGTTGCCTACAGCCCTCTGGAAGTTCAGGATGTTTCAGGTTGCGCTCTGGATGCCATACCCCTGGGCCTTGCTAGGTAGGCTCAGCACCCTCCCCCCCTTCACCAGGCCCTCTGTGTATCTGAGGCGGGGCCCGGTCCGCCCCACAGTGCAGTGAAGCCAGGTGGGCCAGCCAGTCCTCTGAAAAGCAGGAGGGGGCTCTTTTCAGGCCCCTGGGTGGCTCCCTGCAGAGGGAGCAGGGCCAAGCTGTCCACTCTAGGTTAGACCCTGGAGACAGCAGGGCCAGGGGGGCTGGGCAGGCTGTGCCCAGCAGGCAGGGCCTCTCCCTGCCTCTCTTAAGTGACCATTTAATTGCTCTGTAAATTTACCTTGGAGGAAGATCTTGGTGAGTGCCCGCCTCTCCGGGCTGGTACTAACATTTCCAAGTCGAAATTCCAGTTTTCAGTGTTGTGAGGAAAAAGGAATCTAGGTAGGATTAAGGGAGCAGGTGGTGCTTACACCTAGGGGCAGCCCCTGGGCACCCCTGCTGGCTGCCCTGTTGCTCCCTGGCTCCAGGCAGGGACCCAGGGTCTGTCCTGACACCTGAGCAACTGAATAAACAATGACTGGGGGGGTGGGGGGGAGGGTGCCAGGGATGACTCAGAGCAGCCTGTAGGCTCCCTCCTGGTGTGTGTGTGTGTGTGGACTGGAGGGGGCAGGATTGCTGACTGGTCAGACCTAGGGCAATGGAGAGCAGCTTGCTGGAAGCAAGGTGGACCCCTTTCTGTCCGATCTGACAGAAAAATGAACGTAGAATACAGGTGGAGGGCACTAGTGAGATGGGGAGGAGGAACTGCATCGTGCACAGTGGTGGGATTTTGTCAGGACAGGTCTAGAAGATCCAGAAGGACCTGGAAGCCTGTAGTAAGACTGCTGGAGACCTGGGACTGAGCACAGGCCTGCCTCACGTAGCTGGTGGTCTGACGGCTGTGTGGCCCACAGGCTTGCACAGTCAACAGCTCACGAGGTGCAGAGGGGGAAACAGACACCATCTCAGGTGGTGCAGCTGTAGCCATGGCACTCACAAGACATAAAGCAGGATTTGAATTCCAGCCCTGTGAACAGGTTTTTCTCTTGACCTACTCTTCTACTTCCAGACTTTTCTACCTGGGCTGGCCTCAAACCTGGATCCTCAGCTCTCAGCCTCCTGAGTAGCTAGCATTACCAGTGTGAGCCACTGGTGCCCAGCTTTATGAAGTATCTCTAGTCACCACCGTTTTGCACTCTGCTCCTGGACCATGAGTCCACAAACCAAATCCCAGGTTCCCAGACTACCTATTCTGGCAACCGCGCCCAGGAGTAGCTGGGAGAAGTCTCCCCATCCTCATGCAAAATGTCCAGATGAGAATAGAAGAGGCCACGTGACCCAGGGCTAGGCCAGTTGGGGCCTGGAGGAACAACATCCCGTTATGAATCTGCCCCTCTCTGTGGCTGGCAGATAGCACTGAGCAGGCAGGTGAGGTACTTCCCAGCTTAGGAAACAGGTACCCATCACTGTTGGGGGCCCAAGGCCACAATTTCAGGGAGACCTTCCCCAGGTCCCCAACATGTAGCTGGGGGATGGCAGCCCCTGGGGATCCCTCTTTGACTCGGACTCATTTGTGTGTAAGCAGAAGGGAGTTTTTCAGGTTTGAGGGGTTGACAGTTGAAGCAGGCATGGCCTCATAGCTCTAAATACTTGCGGACCAGGTGACTTTAGTGGGTGGCTCTAAGGCCACTATAGAATGGTGGACTGATGGGATGTAAGGCCCAGCAGCCAACACATGGGATATTGATGTTCTCAGCTGACCTAGACTGGTGGTAGAGACCAGAGGAGGGAAGGCAGGGCAACCTAGAGCTTAGGATAGGAGGCTCAGAGCAGGTCAGGAGCCAGAGCAAGCTCAATACTCTGCACTACTTCTAAACTGTGTGAACGTGAATTAGTTACACAACCACTCTGTGCTTTGACTGCTCTGTAAAATGGGGATGAAAAAGAGTCATGTGGCCCAGGAGTCTGGTGCCTTCAGAACTAGCAGCATGCCACAGCTGTGGAGTCTTTCCATTGGCCCTCTGGAGACATGCAGAAGGCCCTGGAACACTGCTTGCACATAGTGGGTGCTCATGGCTCTGGGTGGCCATAGCCCTTCAAGGTAGGTGTGGACATCTCTTCCCCATGGGGCAGCTGCTTCCTAGGACCATCAACGCTGTTGATTACAGGCTTCTCATGTGAGAGGCTCGCTGAGTCTCCTCAGGAGGGGAAAATGGAGAGCCTTGAGGTGAGATCCAGACTGGGGTGGAGACAGGTTGTTGCAGTAACAGCCCCCAAACTCAGTAACTGATCCGGAGTGGTGATGATAGTTATATCACAGCATTGGGGAGGCTGAGACAGGAGATAATGAAATAATCTGGGGCCAGTCTGGGTGACATAATTAAACCCTGTCTCAAAACAACACACAAAGCCAGACATCGGAGGCTCACACCTGTAATCTGGCTACTCAGGAGGCTGACTTCTGAGGATCATGGTTCTAAGCCAGCCCAGGCAGGAAAGTCTGTGAGACTCTTATCTCCAATTAACCACCAGAAAACTCAAAGTGGTGCCATGGCTCAAAGTGGTAGCCTTGAGTGAAAAAGCTTAGGGATAGCACCCAGGCCCTGAGTTCAAGCCCCACGACCAGTATACACACACAGACCTCTAAACTGGAACCCCTAAGGATCAGAGTCATGACTCACTCTGCTGAGTGCCAGGGCAGCTTAGCCAATAGGAGCTCTGCCTGCCTCACGGGCTGTCAAATGACATGAGAGTCAGAGGTCTGGACTTACTCTGCCCAGCATGGTAGCCACCCCTTTCTCCCCCCACTCCCCCCGCCCGCCGCCCCCTGTGTGGCTTCTTCAGTTGGAATGAGTGAGGTAAGTAAAACTAGAAATATTCTCCTTCAACCTAGCTGTGCTGCATTTCCTGTGCTGGCTGGCCATGCATGCTGATGGCCCTGTGCTGGATAGGGTCATAGAACCATCCTGCACAGGAAACTTCTTGAGAACCTTATGCCAGCCCCTTTCAGGTGGAAACTCACGAAGCCAAAAATATCAGGGATGACCTCTAAAGAATGGGTCCTGTCACTTCATTGTGGGTCAGGAAACAGGAGGGAAGTTCCAGGTGGGAAGATAGAAAAAGGAAACTGGAGAGACATGCACCCCCCGCCCCCCCATTCCACCAGGAGCAAATGGAAGGCAACAAGGTAGAGACCAGAGACCTGTGTCCTAATCTTAGGCCCTGACTGGGCTAGAATAAGTATCCTGGGGAGCATGATGCACACACACACCATATAGCAGAAGGGATTTAAGTGAGACTGCAGATAAACTTCCTCCCTTAGTTAGGAGCACTGAAAAGGTGACTGTAGAGCCTTGTGCAATGTGATGGGCAATGCTGATTCAAGGTGGGGCATGCATGGTCAGACCACCTGCAAAGGCTCTGCTCCATGGCAGGATTGGCCCAGAAACTGGCCTGGCCCTCCCCCAGCCTTTCCTGTGCACTTCAGTTAAATAGATCAGAAGGAAAACGTCTGTTTGATTTTAATCTCAACGCAGGACACTGGAGATTACATTTTCCACGGAAAATGTCAGCTGTTGCTTAAAATAGGACTTTAGAGAAAATGCTAGAAAGTGTATTTTTAGGTTATATGTCCCATTTCCCTCCCGCCCCCCCCCCCATCCCTGAAGTCCCAACTGGGTGCTTGTAGCTCTCTGTGGGTTGCTGCCAGGTGCAGACCCAAGCTGGCCAGGTGGGTAAACCGAAGCAGGCCCCACTGAGGCCTGAGGGCCAGGTTGGTGGACGCACGTAGGACCTGGTCCCTGGGTCCAGAAGCTGGCACTGGAAGTGGGCCCTCAGGGAGCTGTCAGGAAGGCCTAAGGCATTAGAGGCCGGAGCTGAGCTTGAGATTGGGAGCCTTCTCTGAACAGCCCCCCACAGACCACTTAACCACTGAGTGATCTTCCTGCTGTGGGACCTTGTTCCAGTTGCTTGGCCACTCGGGATTGAAAATTACCACCTTGCTTTCCTTTAAGGTTTTTGGGATGATGCAAAGAATTTAGGGACCTGAGGCAGCCTGCTCCGGCTGATACAAAAGGTGCCCTCGGAAATGCAAGGGATAAAATTGGCAAGTAAGCTGCAGTGGGCATCTGCCCCACCTGGGCCTATGGAGCCAAGAAAGGCCTCCCGGCAGGCCTGGCTTAGAGGGATAGGATCAGCAGAAGGTTGTGGGTTCCTTGGGTGTGGGGCTGGCACTTGTCTGGAAGGCCCAGGAACCTGAGCAGTAAACCGGGAACTTGGTAGTGAAGCATGGGTGTTCTGGCCAGGACTGCATGGCCATTCGAAGAAGGGCCATGCAGAGGGGGCCCATCAAGAGAACTGGTGACTTTTGGGCCCCCTTTCTCCTCCAGGCCTCAGTTTCCCTTCTGTGATATAGGATGGGGCTGAAAGACGCCCCTGGCTCTGAGGGCCCCATGCCACCATAGCTCAGCTTGATCAAGGTGAGGTAGGGCAGAGGGTGGATGCTCCTGGACTCCAGCCATCCCATTTGTGACTTCAAGGCTGTGAGGCTCCTCCCAGGGGGGCACCATGGGGAGGGGGCGCAGACCCCCTCAGTCCCTCTGTGTAACCATCCTCTCTCTTTTCCCCATGCTCCTGTGGCCGCCTGGACCCTGCAGAGCTACCCACGGAGGAAGGTGAGGCTGGGGGACACAGCTTTGTCTTGGTCACAGTCAGATCACATTGCTGTTCACTCTCTCTCCAAGAATGAGGCTTTGGACAAACAACCAAGCCTCTGTGGGCCTCTGGTTCCCTCTGAACTGCAGGAAGCAATGGGGCTGGAGGCATTGATGCTACCCACTTTGTGTGTAGGGGCTGGGCTGAGCCTCACGTGTGTTCTTATTCCCAGGGAAGTCCTTGTGGGAGCTGGTGTTGGAGCAGTTTGAGGATCTCCTGGTGCGCATCCTGCTGCTGGCTGCCCTGGTCTCCTTTGTAAGTGGGAAGCCGCTGTCCTGTGGGACGGGGCCACCTGGCTGGGAGAGCTGGGCCCAGCAGGGCTGTCTCATGCTGTGAGCCACAGGGCTGCACTCTACTTGGCCTTGGACACCTCTCCACTCCACTGGTCCCCCAAATATTCCCTGCCCTGCGGGACATCTATTTCCTGTGCCTGGACCTCACTGCTCCACACTGGACCCCACCTCCCTCCACACAATCTGCACCCTCTCCCCATCCTATCTTCTGTCCTGGAAGTCAGGCAGCTCTCCTCTTCCTCCTCTTCCTCCTCCTCCTCCTCCTCCTCTTCTTCCTCCTCCTCCTCCTGCTCCTCCTCCTATTCCTCCTCTTCCTCCTTCTCCTCCTTCTCCTCCTTTTCCTCCCTATCCTTTTTTTTTTGGGTCGGCCGTGGGGCTTGAACTCTGGGCCTGGGCGCTGTCCCTCAGCTCTTCAGCTCAAGGCGAGCGCTCTACCACTTGAGCTACAGCGCCACTTCCGGTTT